CTCCCCACACTCCGATGCTACGTCGAAAATGGTATACAAGAAATTCTGCTGTAACGTTTCATAATGTATGTTGTTTTCGTATACTTTAAATTTGATCAAATTGGCAGCAAAATATTCATACAACTATGAAAAAAGACTAAACGTGGAGTAAATTTAATTAGATTAGTATTATAAACGCAAAATGTAACTTCAATAATTTTTTAAATCATGTTGAGTTGCGATAAACTGTTTAACTAAATTACTTATAACAAATTGTATTTATGTTTACATTTTCAGATAAATGAATAGGGCTTGTACTACAAATACCACAGAAAACATTTGAACAGCGTGAACTATTATTCCTGAAATCGTATTTGCTATACTCTACGATTTACCCGATTTCAAGTAAAACATAAATGTTATCACAGTTCGTATGAATTTAGAGATGAATTAGTCTCAACCGAAAAAAGTGTATATACACATTGTAAAGTATAGATGTGTTCAGTGCTATTCACTAAACTGTTTTGCGGATTGGATTGGAAATCATTTGTTTAGTTCAGAATACGTTTGCTACTCTGTATAGTTTTCTGAGTAGTAACAAAAATGTTAGTTAAAACGAGTGTTCTGAAACAAAAGATGTGTATAATTAAGATTCAGGTCTCTTTTGAAAATAAAATATCAATTAGGACTAGTTGACATAAAAACGATTGATAGTTTCAAAATCTAATTCACGAATTCAATGATTTTGTTAATAAAAACGCACTGCAGTTTTAAACAACTTTACACTTTCCTATACCCCGATCTAAACAATTAATTAGTACATAGTATTTTTTTGCCTTCAATAAACCTTTATACCCAAACTTTTAATATACCTTTTAAGAGCATATAAACACACTCTCATTTTAAAATGAATTTTATCACAGGCTGATCCGCAGTGTTATGGTGTTTAACGACATATAAATCCCACCCTTTGCAGCGCCTATTATCCCCTATTATTTCTTTGCATCCTGAAGGCTTTGAGGGTCGTTGAAAGCTAATTAGGCTTTTTACTTGGTGAAACATTCTTTGTACCTAACCAACTGTGATAACCCTGTTAGTCTTTACACTCTTACTTTCATCGCGCATGTAATTAGTGTTTTGTGTTTACCGGTTTTTTTTCTGAATAAGTTGACGTGTTTAATATTTTGAAAGTTTAGCGTAGGTGAATGGCCACGTTGTTTCGGGTGAGGCGACCGTGAGTAGCTTATCGATTCTCATATTATTAGCAAGAATCCTTTTGGGGGTTTGTTCGCGTAAGACATTTGTTCGGTTCAAATGTTTATACATTATGTATTATTATTTGTTTTAGACTTGGCTAAAGTAATTTTAGAAGTTAGTGATTACAGAAGCAATGTATATAACCATTGACTATACAGGGTGACCGTTAAGTCTTAGGACGACTTTATAATTTTTAAACGACAAAAGATATCACAACCACATTTGGTATACCGTTACTGGAAATTGTAAGCTACTTTTCTGTACATGGTGGTCGGATATCACCTTTGGGGGACGGCCCGTCGGGGGTCAGAAGAAAATCTTTAACGACAGCCTATGTTGAGTTGTACATCATTTTAAAGGTCAACTTCAACTGAAAACAATGCCGCAAACCGCACTTCAAAAGGTCGATCCTGCGCAAAATGGCAGATGTTCAAAGATTTTCAAAATTAGCCAATTTATTTAAATTAATACACTTTCTTAAATCTTTAAACAACTGTCATTTTTTAGCGGATGGTCCTTTTGAAGTACGGTTTGTGGCATTCTTCTTTGCTTAAAATTCCCTTTAAAATGATCCGCATAACTTCACATTCAGTGATCCAAATTACTCTTCAGGGCGACGGCCCACAAGGAGTCGGAAGTAAATCTTGAATGGACGCATAGGTTGATATGCACATCAAATTAAAGGTATTTATTAGTAGAATACAATGCCGCAAACCGTACTTCAAAAAGACCATCCGTTAAAAAATGACAGTTGTTTAAAGATTTAAAATACCCCCGCCGCAGCAAACCTGCAGACTAAGCGAATTTCCATTTCCCTGAATGGATTTACACTAAAATGTCTCCTTAAAAATATCACATTCATTCCCTATTTAAATAGAATCAGTTTAAAACATACTTAGGTTTGCTGCAACAGGGAGGGTAAAAGTGTTTTTTATGTAAAATGTTAATAGTTGGTAAGAAATAAAAACATTTTCCAAATTTGGACAAAATATGTTAATAAACAAGCAAACTACAACAGTTTAATTATTCTCCATAAGAATAACATAGAAATTTTAAATTTACAGTTTTTTGGAATTTTCTTCGTAACCATTAGGTGCATTATATCGCTTCAATATACTAAATTATTTGTTTTTTTAAGCTCTACAAAATAGTTTAGAAAGAAATTGCAAAATTTTATGTTTTTTGGGTCAAAAATGGGAAAAACCCATTTTTACCCCATAAACCCCCGTTCCCATGGTCCGATCATGCTGGTTCGCGAACTCGTTCGAATAAACGTAGGTTTACACGTTTGTACCAAATTTCATCAAAATCGGATCATTTTTGCTCGAGTTATCTTGCTAACGGACACATATATATATATATGAATTTGAACGGATGGTGTTTTTGGCCTCTAGGGACCTCAAAACGAAAAAAATAAACGGTATCAGCATTCTGACACATACTTTCTCCCATAAGTTTGTCAACAACCTTTATCATGTGTAAGCGGTGTGAGTAAATATACGGTTATGGGATTTGTACAGTTTTCTACAGAATTTAAAGGACAATAACATACTAAATTTTTATCAAAATCGTTCGGGCCATTTTTGGGAAAATCCTATTTTTCCGTTATTTTATGGGGTTTTATTGGAAAATCCCCATTAAAAATCAAAATTAAAAAAAAATAAAAAAACTATCAAAATTGTAAGGACCATAACATACTATGTTAAATCAAAACCGGATTTTTGTCTAAAATCCTATTTTTCGTTAATTTATGGGGGTTTTATGGGAAAATAACATAGTTTACCATAACTTTTGAACCGTAATTTTTACAGAAATGGGATTTGTACCATTTTTTTTAGAATTTAAAGGGCTACAACATACTAAATTTTTATCAAAATCGTTCGGGCCATTTTTGAGAAAACCCGATTTTTCCGGTTTTTTATGGGTTTTTATGGGAAAATCCCCATTAAAAAACAAAATTTCAAAAAAATGAAAAAACGCCCGGAGATACCATGGATTAGAACCTACATACCAAATTTCATCGAAATCGGACCACTACACGTCTCTAGCTCTGTACACATCCAGACACACAGACACACACACACACAGACATCACTTCGAAAATCACTTTTTTGGGTCCAGGGGGACCCAAAACGAATATATCCACTAAAAACTCAAACTCGAAAATTTTGACGAAAACAATACTTTCTCCATATACTATGGTATAGGGGGAGAAAGTAAAAATCGGTCCCGGGTCCAGGTCTTACCATGAGTAGGCCTACTACGGTAATAGCTTATTCCCTATATGGGAAATTCGCTAAAAGTGTTTTAACTTAAAGAAATTGGCTAATTTTGAAAACCTTTGAACATCTGCCATTTTGCGTAGGATCAACCTTTTGAAGTGCGATTTGCGGCATTGTTTTCAGTTGAAGTTGACCTTTAAAATGATGTACAACTCAACATTGGCTGTCATTAAAGATTTTCTTCTGACCCCCGACGGGCCGTCCCCCAAAGGTGATATCGGACCACCATGTACACAGAAAAGTAGCTTACAATTTCCAGTAACGGTATAAAGTCGTCCTAAGACTTAACGGTCACCCTGTATATAAACCTAATTATATAGCTCAAGCTTTTTGCAGTAATCAACTTTAATTTTTGTTTATTTTTTCTATTTACAAAAGCTTTCGCTATTTCCTTTTTTTTTACTAACTAAGCCTTGGATATTTAAAATAGGCCTATGTGTTTTTTTGTTTTTTTTTTTTGTGTAAACGTGTAAGCCTGTAGCACAAAGACCTCTATTTGTCATATCTTTGTTTTTCAGCGCATTCAACTACGGCAAATAATCCCTTTTAATCATCGTAGGGGGGGATCAAAATGAAAATTAGCTTTTTTGCTTGAAACGAGCAAAGCAAACTAAAGAAAGCAGCTTACTCGCTAGACGTGTAATCAAGTGCAATTTGAAACGCGAGTAGGGGGGATGTCGGTTGAAGGGAACAGCCAAACGCTCTCTCATTAATCCCCCATAACTGTGACTAAAGGCGGAGGAACTACTTTGTACGTTGAGCTGCTTAGTGTTTACATTTCTTCGTGATTTTCCCTTGGGAGTAGTGGAATTACGTTACTGAAATTTTTCGCCTGTTTTGGTACTGTGTAGCCTTCTTTATTTACTTTTTCTTTTTGGAAATAATATAAATTCGCCCAAATATTGTAGCGGAAAGTATCGTGGTTTTACCCAAAGCTTCGTCTGTATCGTTTTGATGCTGTTCAACGTTACAGTGGTTTTGGTTTTTTTCGAACTGTTATTTAATTATTGTACCTATTTTTACAGTAACTAGTATTTCTGTTCCATCATATCCTGGCGAGAATCGCGGTACTATAATATAAAATTACCGTTACTATGAGTTTTCGATTATAAGTTACCATGCAATTGTTTAGTAACCTTTTCACATGTTGCAACTTTTACTTCAAATTGCGATACGTAGTATTACTACAATAATGACGTTTTTGTTTTAGCTACAGTATATCCAAAGATGAGCAAGAAGACTGCAACCTGGTTACCAAGCTACAATCCAACTCTTTAAAGACCTAGTCACTAGTTGCAACTGTTACTTTTTAGTACCTATTATTACAATAATGACATATTTGTTGAAGCTATGTCCAAAAACGAGCCAGAAGACCGCAGATTAGCTGCGAAGGTGTCAACCTACTATTTTAATTACCTAGTCACTAGTTGCAACTGTTACTTGTTGGTATCTGTTACAACAATACTATGTTTTATGTTCCAGCGATATCCAAAGACGAACCAGAAGACCGCAACCGTGTGACGAAGCTACCTTTCAATGGTTATAGTGACGAGTTCCTAGATAGACTGGAGCCTAATGGCAACATCCCCAACGACAAAGATCTCAGATATGGTGAGTCTAGAGACAATATTTTAATTGCAATCAATTAAGGGTTAATCTATCTGTGACTAATTGATCATACGCATTATTTCAAAAATGTTACCAAACTGTCTGCAACTGTTTTAAAAAACAAATTTCCAAGTTTAGGCAGACCCAAAACGAATATTCTGATATTTTCAAAACATTTGAAAAGGATAGAATGTCATGTTTTGAAATGGAAAAATAAAACGTCAAATGAAGCGAGTGTCATCAAATATTGGATCAGACGTATTTCAACAAACCTTTGTTTTATCTCTGTCAACACTTTTACTCTATTTCCAACCCATTCCCTGTTTTCATTCAATGTTTTCGGATCTTTAGATCAAGTAAACACAACTGTTACTTATGTTCATATACTTAAAATGATATTTTTATATGAAATTACTATAACATTAGTGCAATTAAATTGTAATCCTCATATATAGTTTTTTTATTGTTATATTAAAATACTTAACTTTTTGTACTATCTACCAATGTATTTCGGGTAGAAGACGATTTATATTTATAGACTTTTTCTAAACTTGCCTTTATACACCAATGGTATAATATTTGGACATACATCTATCTCTTTCACAGGGAAAGCGAATCAAACCAATTTATTTCTAATTATAATACTACAAATACTAAGCTAGCAAGATCTGCTACTTTTTATACCATTGGACTATTTAAACTCAAGGCAACATTACTCAATAAGATGTATAACACGTTCGAATTTTCACATTGTTTAATAACACCACTAGGCGAAGTATGACACTAAATTGCTTACATCTTTGCAGTACACTCAAGTTTTACATTACAAATTTTGACTGACTTTCGAATTGTTTTGTTATTAGACTAACTATACTCTCGAACCATACCATTCTAAAGTATAATCGTTACAACATGAATAAAAATGTTGTTCTCCTAGAGCTGGTAAACTGTATTTCTGTTTAACGAGAGATAGATAGAAGTGTGTGTGATGTGAGGTCAGGTGTGTAGTGATACATCGGGGATCTGGGATACATTGTCATCGGTAATTACATCATCTCTCCCAGGTGTGTCTTACATCATCCCAGCAGTGTGTAGTTACTGTCACAGTATCGTAGTTTAGTTGTTTTAAAACGATAATAAGTCACTAAATAATTTGTTTCTAATGAGAAATGTAATAAATATATTATCTTTACAATATTCTTTTAACCAATGTATTCTTGGTTGACTTTTCACGTTCTAAGATCTAATTGACCATTTTTACATTATTGTCGTGACAATTTCGGTCTACAGTGGTTTTAAATTTGATTAGTCTACAAACCCTGAATGTGTCCGAATACACGTTTTGTGGGATTGGAATTTCGCCTCTTTCCTTGCAAAATACGTCACGCATTTTCGTGATTTCTCATACCAACTGTATTTTAATCGTGTAACGAGTAGTTTAATACTTTTACTAGTGAACATGTGCGGCTCAATGCCCCGCAAAAAACATATTAATTTAGAAAACGAATTCATCGTGTTATATATTGACTCGACGTCGAAAATTAAATTCAATAATAATAAAGCCTTAGAAGGGAAGCAGCCCAGCAATTTTCTAGCTGTATGCGTATTATATTTATTAAATTAATAAGTGTTCAAGGTTAACTATGTTATAGTGTGTTTATTTTTTTTAAAGATTTTTAAAAACAAATTTTACAAAACATTTTATCATATCGAACCAATTGGCCTATGTAGCATATTTTGAGGGTCATAAAATGCTGCTTTAAGAAAACACTTTTAAAAATAAACACTAAAAAACAATATTTTTATCACAAAAGCACTTCTATGAATAGGCTACTACGATTTTAGTCTTAAAGTTACCTGCAGAAATATTACCCTGGTCAGAATTTTCCGTAATGAATATGCGTATCCTATTAAAATATGTAGCCTTAAAATATTACTTAAAACAACAAATATATATATATATATATATACCTATATATATATATTTGCTCATGACTGAAACTGGTCTGGCTAAGAACAGTGCTGCTCTTTAATTAAAGTGCTTGTGCTGTAAATAAAAAAAAAACAGAAATTAGCATTCTTTCCATTTTAACAGGTAGCCTAAGTTTGTTTCAGACGGGCAAATTTTTATCCTCGAAATCAAAATATGTCCCTTGTTCCAGTTAGGACTTTACATTGTTGTTAACCGTTCTAAACAAATGAAGCCTTGTGCCATTAATGAGGCCCTTTTTGATATATTAATATCATAAAACCTTTTATTAGTATAATCTGTGTCTTGGCAACCCACTGACCTCTATATTTAAAAACTCAGTTGGATTTTCTAGATGGGTGTCTCCGCCTTCGTCTGTTTTCGAGGACCCACTCTTCTTCCCCTTGGTATACTGACAATTAATTACCTAACTTGTCAAGTTCATGTAGTAATTCATTAATACTGTTAGTTTATAAAGAAAATTAGATAAAAGTTACTTGGCTTGGTGCTTTCAAAACTGCAAACACAAAATACATCACCCACAGGTAAAAAAGAATCAAGTTATTGGTTAAAAAAACTATGTTTGTGTAAAAACATTATTCACATGAAGTAGATGATTTTTTGATTTCTCGATCAGCTGTTTCGTTTCTGATGAATTAATAATGTCAAAGATTTGTGATTTTAAATACATCAACTATTATAGTAAGGTTTTCTAAATCATGGTAACTTATTCTCAACTAAGTTTTACTATTCCCAGCATAAAAATAAAGTAGTGAGATCCAATATGAGTAAAGTTTAAGGCACACAATCCTTAATGGAAATGTAGTATACATTAACAGTCATAATACACAGCAATTATTATGTAGTAGACTTTGACTATTTTCAAGTAATAAACATATGTTTCTGTAAAAAAATTATCTCCCTTGTTATCCTTATGGAGAAATACGAAACTTTAAAGGGCCCCAGGGCCTCACTCTCTAATTATTTCCTTAAAAAGAAGGTTTCCTGCACAACTTCACGTTACGCTCTTTCCAATGACACCAAAAACATGACAATCGGTTCAGTAGTTTCGGAGGAGTAATTGTCACAAAAAACCTGCTTGCGTATTAAATAAGTATAGATTCCTTAACTTGGCAATAAATCATTTATAAAGCGTTGATACCACAGACATCTCTTTGTGGTGTTTTACGAAGACTTTGTTTCTTTCACTATTAATTTACCCATGTGTAGACATTTGCCCTTACCAGCTTTTTCACCGGCCGCCCCTAAGGAGTTCAGCTCTGCCCACAAATGTTTCACTGACCATTGCACTTTTTACACCTCTTATCTCCCCCAGTGAGCTGCGACTTTCCTTTATGTTTCCTTTTGTGAGTAGATTCTGTTTCTGACCTTTATCAATAAACCTACCTTTGTCGATAATAGTAGAATTTTATTTCAGACGGTAGAATTGTATGTGTAGCTTACAACTAAACAACTATAATTTACAGTTTAATCGTCATCAACTATAATATAGGAGCTTTGGTAAATTTAGGTATAATTTGGTATATTGGTAAATTTTACCATACACAAGATAATCATGTGAGAAAGGTTGATAAAATTAGATAAGTACGTGAATTAAAGATTAGTATCGTTTCTCTTGTCTGCTAGTTTTATTCTTTCCAATTTTTCCGTTTTGTAAATACATGTTACATTTACACTTCAACTCGTCGTGTATATTGCTAGTTTAAAATCATTTCAACTGTAATCCTAGGTTTTAAAAGTTATATTATGTCAATAATGGACGTTAAACCATTGACTACACACAAAAAATAAACATATGATTTCAGTTGTTGCCATTTTGTTATTGCTTTAATTTTAAATAGTGTTGATCACTAATAGATTGATATTTTAGCAAGAAGAATTATTTGATTATATAATAAATAAAAACTCTAAAATATTAATTAATGGCCTTTGAACTATCAAGTTTGTTATTCCGAATGATCAAGTAAAATCTAAAATTTTACTATTTGATTATACAGCTATTTCTTTGCATTTTCATCTTAATTTTAAGTTAACCTTTAAACTATGATCTTTTTGTTATCTAATATAGACTATTGTTAGGAAGCGTCTTTAATTAATAGGTAAATGGCATAGTGGTTCAAAGTAGATATTGCTTGAATTAGAGTCTTCAGAATCATGAAGATTACTATTCGTAATTTTTGTTCTTCAGACGTAATGATAGATGGAATTCTTTATCATCTAGTACAGTATTTCGGTTTGGCCTTTAGACCTATCGAGTTGAATCTTCAGATCTGCTTGTATTATCAAAACAGTCAATTGAAATCTTGAAAAAATATAATTGCAGATTTTAAATCGTGAAATGCTCTCAATTGCCCTGTCGTTATCCTAAGTATACACTCATCTCTGGCCTCTAACCACGCCACTTCACCCCAGGGGCTCAGATGCCCCTATCTCATTTGTCCTCGGTCAAGCCATATTGAAGATGCCGACATGTCCATTCGTCCCTTTCTATTTCACGACGACCCTTACTTCAATAACTCAGTTGTCCTGTCTAACTCGCCAAATAACTGGCGTCCAGACAGTAGATTATTTGGGCTAAGGCAAACGCGATTCAGAAATGTGTGTGTGCAGTGTTGTTTTAGATAAATCAAGTTTACCATAATCTTAGCATTATGATAGTCTCCCTGCCATGTAAAATACAGGTTCAGGTACACCCTTATATTGCTAAGGGCATGGATACAAATTGTACTTTCTTTACAACTCCTCAATGTTCCATCATCAGATATGTATGGCGTACGCGGACTACCTTAAAACTTTACTTAACTTAAAGTTTGACAAATTGGTTCAGAAAATCGTTGTGAAAACAGTTCTATACGGTTGCCATAACGGGGTTGTATCTTTAATCAAAACTTTCCATTGTGCAATGTACCCTAGTCGTAGTTTAGTTACTACTTGAAAACTGTTCATTTCACTAGAATGGAAGCACTACTATGCATATTGCAACTGCATACGATTTGAATTCATTATAGGTAAT